AAGGGCCTCCCAGGTGCGTCCATGGGGAGTTGTGGCAGGGAACCAGGTTTGCCCTGGGTTGCAGCCGTCTCTGTCCTTACATGGCCCTGACAGGCACTGGGGTGCTATTGTGTCTCCACTGTGCTATTGTGCTCATGGATGTGGCAGCCCCTACAGGACCTGAGAGGGGTGCAAGTTCCTCTAACAGCCCTGGAAGAAGGGAGGAAGGGCTGGGGCTGTGCAAAGGCCCTGTGGCACCTGGAGTGAAAGTGGGGGCAGAGAGGTGACCTGGCTGCTGATGGGAGTGGAGGGCAGCGGCATGGGTGGACTGAGAGCTGGCACGATAGGCCTAGAGGGGATGGTGAGGCTCTGTGGGCTGGTGGAGCAGGATTCACCCAGTGCCTTCCATTGTCTTCCAGCATGGACCCTGCAAGCCCGCCCTGCCATCTCAGCCTCTCCAGGACTGCTCTCTTGAAGGCTGGGGCACACGGTGTAGGTTAGGGCAACCCAAGGTGTTGGGGCTAGGGAAAGCATGGTGCAGAGTTGGGGTCACATGGGATATAGGTTTGGGGCCACACGGGGTACAAAGATGGGTCACATGGGGTGCAGGATTGGGGCCACACAGGATGTCAATCAGGACTGTCCACCCTAAGTCTTCATGTCCTGCCTGGGCTCTGGCTGGAGCAGGCCTGGACCTGGGGTCATGTCAATGGCCTCTGTTGGGGTGAGGTATTAGCCACCACCAACTAGCAGTTCCCGTTCCCCTCAAAGGCTCGCCAGCGACCACTGGACTGTCCTGTGCCTGGCCTGCAGGATTCTTTTCTCTTGTGGGGGAACACCTGGCAGTGCTCAGGGCACCATATGGGATGCCAGGGGTAGAACCCAGGTCATGGTGTGCAAGGTGAGCACCCTGCCTGCTGTCCTATTGCTCCGGCTCCTGCCTGAAGAATTCTGCCAGCACCAGGCTCATTCCCAGGTGACAGAGGCGACAGGCCAGACCCAGAGCCACACAGGCCTGCTGGCTCTGGGCAGGGGAGGGCCCAGCCTGCCCTCCGGGGTGCAGGGGCCTGAGGTGCACCCCTCAGCCCAGCACCAGGGAGGGAAGGCCTCTGCCCGTCCCCGCGCCCTGGCTGGCACAGAGCCTTCACCAACAAAGCAGCTATTGTAGGCTCTGGCCTGGCCCCAAGCACAGACAGCAGGCGCCCTCAGGAGCTGGGGGTGTGGACATTCTCTCCTCAGACCAGAGCAGACCTCTGGGGGATGGGGTGGCAGGCCAGGGGCAGGGGGTGCTGGGTGTCACTGTGGGGTGCCAGGTTCTCTGGGGCCAAGGCTCCTCCTTCTGAGGGGCACAGATTCTGAGGGGAGGGAGCATCTCCCTGAAGAAAGGAGATATTTCTCAGGGGAACCTTCCCAGTGGATACCCAGGATGATTCTTTTTTTGTTGGGGCGATTTTCTCTTGGGGGTGAGTTTCTCACAGGGGGATGGAGCTGCTCTCTGAGGGGAGGGTTTTCCCTCTGAGAAGAGCTTCTCCCCAGCGGACCCGACGGGGTGTGGAGGCGAAATTCTCTTTGGGGAGACAGCGCTTCCTGTCAGGACAGCAGGTTCCTTTCCAGAAACCCGGAAATTCTTTCTGGGGGCGGGGCACCTCTGAGGGGCGGGGCTTGTGAGGGAGGGGTTCTCGGAGGGGCGGGCTTGTGGGCGGGGCTTATCCGAGAGGTGGGGTTTGTGGAGCTTGGCTTATCAGAAGGCGGGACTAGGGGCGGGGCTTGTCCGAGGGCGGGTTCGTGGGGCGGGGCTTTATGAGGGGCGGGGCTTGGGGCGGGGCTTTCCTGATGAGCGTCCTGACTGAGGGGCTGCTTTCTGAGGGGCGATTCAGTCTCAGCCTTTTTGGGCTGTGTCCCCCTAGTCTCATGTCCCCAGGGTCCTCATTTATTTGCTTTCCTACCGCGGTCTTCTTGGAATACCCCTGAAGTGAGAAACACGGTTTCTTTCTGTGGGTGGCACCTCTCTCCCGGGGTCCTCTGATAGGGGGTTTCTCTGGGGGATGAAGCTCCCCGCCCCGGGAACCCGCCTCTGGCGAATGGGGCTCCCCTGGGAGTGTCTGGTGCGTCTTTGGGGGGCGGGAGTCTCTCTGAGGGGAGCCGGTATCTTGGTATCTTCTGAAGGAGACAGGCACCTCCTGACAGGACGGGCCTTCTCTCTGAGGGGCGTGGTCTTCCTCGAGGGGCGTGGTCTTCCCTCCGAGGGGCGGTGCTTTCCCTGGGGCGAGTTTCTCAGGGCACTGGGCTCCTCCTGGGTGATGGACCTTCTCTGTGGGGTGCGCGGGTGTTCTCTGTGGAGAGCTGGAACTACTCTCTGGGTGTATGGACCTTCTTGGGCCGGGGGCTTCTTCCTGGAGCAAGGGGGCTCGCTATTGGGGGTCAGCTGTTCTGGGGTGCTGGACATTTGGGGAGGTTGGGCTTCGTGCTGGATGGTAGGTGGTGATTCAGGGGTCGGAGATTTCTCCTGGGGGCAGCGTGTCAGTTGGGGGATGGAGATGGAGCTTCGTCCACCGAGCTCCACCTGGCCTCTGGAGCCTTTGTTCTGGGGCTTGGAGAAAGGCGTCCCTTTTTATGCGAGAAAGGAAATAGCAGACCCCCAGGAAGGGGTCCTGGTTCTGGAGGGGAGAGGAGTAAGGCTGGCGGGTGGGTGAGGAAGCTGAGGACTCACTTACCAGAGGGCCTCCTGGGTAGGGCTCTGGGGGCGTCCAGAGCCACAGAGATCCTGGTTCCACCTGGGGTAACATGGGGTGCTTCTGAACAGTCACCAGCTCACTTCCAGGCCAAGGCATGTGGGTTCTGCCCTTAGCAGATGCCAGGAGACCCCAGAACTGGGCACCCTCTCTGGGTGTTCTCCCCGTCCCAGTCCCCATACCCAGAAGAGCCTGCAAAGGGACCTGGGGTCCTGCCCCCACCAGGCCCCTCCAGAGATCCTGCTGAGCAGGCAGCAGGATGCTGTGTGACCTCTGGGGGCTACTGGGCACTCATAGAGCTGTGGTCTGTCCCAGCCAGTCCTGGGTCCCCCCAGGGGATTCAGGTGTGTGCCACTCCCATCACTCCCAGAGACTGGGGGCCGGGGACCAGGGTCCCCAGGCCTTCCCAAGCTGGGTACCATGGTGGCCCAGGTTAGAGCAGAGAATGTCGCGGCTCGCAGGGAGTGGCCAGGGTCAGAGGGGTGGGTGCTGGGCCCCAGGAAATCAGAGCATCCCTGGAAGGGACCAGAAGCAGAGTCTGGACTAGAGGGGCCAGCGGGCGGGGGTCGAGCTGGTGCCCAGCAAGGGTGGAGCGGATGGGAAGCTGGGCCATGGAGAGACCCAGCCTGTGCCTGAGTGTGGAGGTCCATGAGCCCCCAAAGGTGCAGGCAGATCCAGTCTTCAGGAAGAGCTAGTGGGGGAGTGAGTGGAGCAAGAAAGTCCACACCCACTTGCCTCTTAAGGGCTTTCTACCCCCAAAGAATATCCTGTTTAGTATGTGTTTGACGGGAGTCCTTCCTGAGTCCTGCCACCAGAGTCCTGCCTGTGTCTATGTTCTCCCAAGGTGGACTGTGACTGCTGGTGTAATGACGCACCCCTGCTCAGAATTCACTGAGAAGTGGAGTACTCGGGGAGCCCCGAGCCAGCATGGGTGTGAGCAAGCTGGAAGCTTGTATGTTCAGCGAGACGAGGCTGGACCAGGAGGGCCAGGACAGGTGGCCATGGCCAGATTCTGAGACCGGAATGAAGATGGGCAGAGTGTGACTTCCTGGACTCAGGCTCCCTCCTGCTGCAGCGCCCAGGAGGCCAGGGTGTCCCCAAGCTTGCCTGGGCATGTGCCACCATGTGGATGACGGAACTGCAGCATAGGCCCCTCCGTTGTTTGGGGGTGCTCCTGCCTCTCTGCAGAACCCCTGCACCACCAGGACGGGAACCCAGGCGGAGGGCGGGGGACCCAGGACAGGACGTGGCACCTCGTCATGGGTCTCAGAGCCTTTGGGGCACACGTCCCCACCCAGGCCAGAATGTGGTGTTGGTCTTTCTCCCTCCGGACAGTGCTCCCCTGGGGATTTCTCCCCTGTGCCTGTGCCCCTCTCTGATGACAGGAACGATGAGCAGGGTCCTGAGGGGAGGGCTGGTGCCCAGCAGAGGAGACATGGGGCAGGAGCGTGCGGGAGGTTGCAGGGGAGGGTGGGCTCGGGCTGCGTGTACCCAACTGTCAGTGGACACCCAGCGGTACCTCTACATGGGGGATTGTCCTGTCTGTTCTCTCCCAACTCTGAGTTTCTGAATGTCCTTTATCAAGAGGGGTCAGTCTCCCCCCGCATCCCTTTCGCCCCTCTGCTGCCCTCCCTTCTCCTCTCCTCTCTCCTCTTCCTCTCCCCCTCCCTGGCCCTTCCTGCACCCACACCTCACACCCTCCAATATAAGCCCAGGCCCTGTGGCTGGTGGGGGGCCTTGCAGGAATCAGGAATCCGCAGCACCTGTCCTGGGGATGCCGGGTCCTGAGTCTGGACCTGGGCCTCACCCCCAGAACTGAGGAGCCGGGTCGGTCCGTACTGGGGTCTAGGGGGTTCTGAGGCTGCCAGGTGGTCTTTGAGGAGCTGGCAGGGAGCGATCTGGGGGGTGTCTGGGAGCAGACCTTAGCCGGCTGGAGGGGGGCTGCAGGCTTTGGGTCCACCTGACTTTGTCTCCGACTGACCTTCGCTGAGTCTCCCTAGAGGCTAGAGCCTCCCAGCTGACCCCACCTGCCCACCCGCGGCCCCGGTGTGCCGGGGCACCCCGTCTCTCGCGATCCCACGCTCAGGATCGCTTCCCGGGACACCCCACTTTCCTGCGAGTGAAGCTGGGGCGGCCTCTGAGGACCCCAGCTGGGGGCGGGGGCGTCCGTGGCCTCGGCGGCTGTCCCCGGCGGCTGGGTCCAGGGGGCACTTGCCCCAGCAGCCCGGGCCGAGCGCGCAGCCCCCTCGGAGCGCGGGGCGGGCGCCTGTCCCTTTAAACGGCCCGGGGCGCCTCCCCGCGCGCCCCGCCCCCGCCGCCGCGGTGCGGCCGGTGCTGGGCGAGGTCGGAGAAAGTCCGCGGAGCCGCCGGGGACGCGAGCGCCGCAGGCCGGACCGGGCCGGGCCGCAGGTACGCGCCAACTTGCCGCCAACTCCGCGCCCCGCGCTGCCGCAGTGCCCGCCGCGCCCCGGCCAAGTTCGCGCGCGCGGCCCCCGACCCCGGCGCCCCTGCCCCGCCGCGCCTCCCCTTCCTCAGTTTCCTCTGCGCGCGCCGGGCCCCCGCCGCGCGCCCGCGCCCCGCACCCCCGGCCCTCGGGCCGGGCCGAGCCGCCGGCACCCCAGCCCCCCGGGCCCGGCCGAGCCGACGGGTCACTGAGGCCGGGCGCGCCGGGAGGAAGCGGGCTGGGTGCGGGCAGGAAGGAGCCGGCACCGGGCGCAGGGGGGCCTGCAGCAGCGGCCCGGCCCGGCCCGCCCGGCCCGCAGCGCCCCTGCCCGGCCCGTCCGGCCCGCAGCGCCCCTGCCCGGCCCCGCAGTCGCCCCGCGCCCCGCAGCCGCCCCGCCCGGCCCCGCAGCGCCCCGGCCGGCCGCGCAGCCGCCCCGCGCCCGGTCCCGCAGCCCCGGACCGCCCCGCCCGGCCCGGCCCTGAGGGCCGCCGCGCTCCTGGGTGGCACCTGGCAGAGGAAGTAGGAGGCGCCCCAGGCGCAGGGCCCCGCTTTCGGGGAGCAGTTGGAAAGAGCACAGGATTAGAACAAGATATCACTTGTCACCTCTCAGCGGCCAGACGCCTGTCCTCGCCAGTCACGCCCAGGGCTGGGTCGCGGGGCTGCGCGAGGGCCTGGACAGGTGCGCCGGCTCTCCAGCGGGCCATCTGCCGCCAGCCTCCTTCCTGCACCTCCGGCTGCTTCCCGGGTCCTGCTTCCTGGCTGCATTGTGGCCAGGGGCACGTGTCCTCGGGCCACCCTGCCCCTGTCCAGGGACCGTTGGGCCTCGGGACGGTTTGGAGTAGCGAAGAGGAAGCTCCCCCGACCACACACACACCCTGGGCCTGTGCCACCCATGCAGAGCCGGGTGTACCAGTCTTGCTGCCCACAGCCGTCGGGGGGCAGCCCCTCCTGTCCGCTGTCCCTTTGGGCCGTGGGGACTACCACCTCACTAAGTCTGGGGCGGAATCTCCTGTGTGAGAGTGGGTTGTGCCAGCCCCAGCACTTCTGGGTCCCTCCCAGAACTTTTCAGCATGTCACTGTAGAAGCAAGCCCTTCGCTAACCCCAGACTCCCCAGGATTTGGGGAGTTTGACCGAGGCTGGGGCCTGGGCTCCAAATTGCCGTTGTTTTAGGGACTGGCTCACTCCACGGCTGCTGACCGCCAGGGCTAGGGTGGCCAGAGTGCCAAGTGCTGCCGGCCCCTACCCTGGGGCCGGTGGAGTCTGTTGGGCCCCTCTTGCAGGGTCTGCTCGCAGCACCTCTGGCCTTCCTGAGTGGGCACTGGAATATGGGCTTAAGGCCAGAGGCCCCAGTGCAGGGGCCTGTGTCATGGCATGCAGTGACCCTGGGCCAGGCCTCCCAGCCCTTCCCCGTGTCCGTATCCCGCAGGGCATTGATCCCCCCCCCCCCCCCGCCCCGCCCATCTAGCTTCAGCCTCCGTGTGCCTTTGCCCGGGCTGGCCCTCCAGATTGTGCAGGATAACGTTTCCCAACTGGCCTGGCTGCCTGGCCCCTTGTCCGTCCGTCACCTGCTGGCCCACAGCGCCCAGCTGCCTCTGCACCACAACAGCTCCCACGTGCAGGTTTTGGCACTGAGCATCTGTGGGTAAGGGTCCTGCAGACAGTGGGCAGAGGCGGTTCCCTTTATAGCCCGGTGGCAGCCCCTGGGTTGGCATCTGCGGAATGGGGCAGTGCATGAGGGTGAGGCTGCTGGCGCCTGGGGGAGGACTCTGCAGGGGGAGTTTAATCTTGACCTTGCCCCCAACCTCTGCTCTGAGCCTCAGCCCTTGCAAGGAGCTTGCTGTCTCTTCCCTGTGCTGCCCAGCTCAAAGCTGTGTGACCTTGGATGGGTAGCTTGCCCTCTCTGAGCCCCACCCTGTTGGGTTTGACAGTGCTACATAGTAGTTTCCTTATTCGGTGCTGGGCAGCAGGCCTGGCCCTGGAGGGGGAGGGGGGCTCCCATCCCTTCTGCTCCCTCCCACTTAGCAGGTTGCAGCCTGCGGGTGCATGCCCCTTTAAGGGGATGCAGCCTCTCGGTCTCCAGAGAGGACCAAGGCTTTTTTCTCTCTGAGGCGTGGTTCTCTGGTCCCCCCACCCCCCCAGAGGAAAGGCTGGCTCTGGGTTTCTGAAGGAATCTTCCTCCCCCTCAGCCCTGGCATCAAGGAGGGCACCCGGCCATGGATGGGCCCCGCCTATGGGCTTGGGCGCAGGCAGGGCCGGCAGGACGAAGGGCTGAAAGTGTCCATATATAGTCACTGCGGGCCAGTGCTGGGTTCCTCGAGGACGGCCACGTTTGGGGTGAGGCTTCCATGAGGTGGCCCGGTGGTGCTCTGGGCCAGCTCCTGACTGGGCGACCCCCCAGTCTCTGGCGCATCCCCTTTGAACCCGAAGATACAGCTCTGGGCCCCCCACCGGGGTGCGCACACCCTTCCCCCCTCCAGGCTGGCACTTTCTGGAAGAGCGCCTCCCTCTCCTGGACAGTGCTGGAACCAGGCCAGTGGGCAGGGCGCAGGCTGATGCGGTGGCTGAGGGGTCCGCCGTGGCCGGGCAGGAGCACGAGGAGACAGGGTGCCCCCCCGCCCTGTCTCTGCCAGAGGCGTCAGGGCTGCCGCGAGTGGCACTGTTAGCTGAGTTTTGCTCATTTAATTTCTCCTGCATCGCTCTGCTGAGCGTTGTTAGGTTTGTGTAGTGAGACTTTCTGTTGTCTCAGCAGTCTTTTCTTCCTTTTTTCTTTTTGGATATAAAGCCATTAGGGTGAGAGAAGATTAAAAAGATACATTACAATTAAAATGTTAATGAAATCTGCATCATACAACTTTTGAAGCCCTTTAGCATTAATCTTGCGGTGTCATGTCCATTAACTTGGGCTATTCTTATTCTACACTGACCCCTGCTGAGAGATTCCTGCTATAATTGGATTTTTTTTAATAAAAGAGGGAAAAAAAGCTTTTAAGAAAATAGAGGTTGAGTGGGCGCCCCTGGCTCTGAAAGGGAGAGTGAGTGACTAGGATGGGGGGCAGCTTCTTGGGGGATCCCTCCTGGCCCTGCCACCCCTCTCCCTTCTGTGATCCCAGCTCCCTGCCCTCGCCATCCCCCTGGGGGACAGGTAGCCCAGTGGGTGGGTCCGGTCTCCGAGTAGCTGTCACTTGTCACTTGCCTTGGGACCTTCCGACTGTGGTGTGCCTGGGGGACAGATGGGCCCCAGTCCAGGTGCTGTTGAGGAGTGATCCCCCACCCCTGTCCTGGGCAGCTGGAGCTGGGCTTTGCAGGTGGCCTGCTGTGGGTGCTGCTGTGGGTGATGCTGCGAGGCTGTGTGGCTGGGAAGCTGGTCAGGTGGTTGGCTGCACAGCCAGATTCCATGTCTGTGTGTTTTTGCAACACCTTTCTATAAAGGGAAACATAATTTAAAATATGATTACTGAGTGTTGTAACAGCCGCCTCAGCGCCCTGCGCTATGCCGAGATCATTATCAGAGTCTGATATTAACTGCAAAGAATATTATGCAAATTGCCTGCCCGCTCCGGGAAGCCGCTCCCGCCCTCCCCGTACCTGCAGCCTCGCGTTGTTGGCCGTCTGTGGTCAGCTCAGGGAGGGGGGACACTGACTGGCAGGGACTGGGCCTGTGGTGCTCCCTGAGTGCTGCCTCCATGACCCACGTCCCGGAGATGCAGGAAGACCCTGCCAAGCAAGCGGCCGCGCCCGTGGGGCGAGGGGTTGGACACCCACCCTGGCCAGCCCCTTCGACCTGGTGTAGGCCCTCTGCATGGTGTAGGCCCTGGTGCTGGATCCTGGAAGGCCCACGGGCTGAGCTGCAATGGGAGGGGGCAGGAGGCAGAGGCCCCTGGGGTGCCTCCATGCCACCAGGAACCCCTCTCTGGACCTGTGTCCCCTCACAGGGGCCAGGCGAGCTTTGAGGACGACAGGAAGCAGGGTCCTGGCCAGTTTGCGGGCAGGCGCCTGTGTCCCCACGGGGACGCCCCTCCTGCCCTGCAGAGCAGCCTTCCCCGACAGGGAGGCTGTGGGCCTGGGGTACCTGGGGTGGGGGGACCACCCCTAACGGTGCTCAGGGCTTACTTCTGTGTCTGGGGGGGAGTCACTCCTGATGGGGCTCAGGGTCCAAACCCAGGTCAGCTGCGCTCAAGGCCAGTGCCTTGGGCCCTGTGCTCTCTCCAGCTGGACTTGGAGTCACTGCTGCCCACTGCAGCAAGGGGCTTGGCCTCTCCGAGGGGTTCAGAGCAGGGAGCCCAGAGCTGTGCCGGATGCTGGAAGCCCCACCCAGGCCACCCGTGAGTGCTTTGCAGGTGCCCCCCAAGCCCCCAGCTCGTTCCCAGAGGCCCCTTGAAGGCTGGAGTGAGCCGGGGCAGGGCTGGGCCGCTCGTCGGCAGACCTACCAGGGCAGGCTCGGCTCCACAGGTCCTCGCGGGCTGCTCTGGGACCCTCTTTCCTGGGCCGCAGCAAGGCCTTGGCAGAACTGGTGTAGACCCAGGCACGTAAGGTCACCTGGACCGTGGCGCAAGGCGGGCAGCATTCAGGGCTGGGTTGGGCTGTCTGGGTCCCAAGGAGCACTGTGTCTCCCTGCCCTCAGTCTGGGCTGTCACTGGCCCTCTGGCCTCTCGGGCCCCCCCCACGGCTTGTAGGTTATACTTGCAGTGCCACAGTGTCCATACAGGCCTGTCCAGGGACAGGGGGGGTCACCCAGGTCCCATTAGTAAGGGGCGAGCACTGCTTGGAGAGCTGGGCAGATGTCTATGGCTTTTCCTCTGGAAGCAAGTGGGGTTAGGGGCTGGGGAGGGGTAGTGTCCTCTGACTGGGGGTGAGGGGCAGGGCCCTCTAGCTGCGGCCGGTTGGCTGCAGGGGCGGGGTCAGGGGTGGGGGCGGGGCCCTCTGGCTCCAGCATGAGGGCAGGGGCTGGGGGTTGAGGCCTCTGTG